TCTTCAGTAGGCCCCAGGTCAAATCTAGTCACATCATTGTCAACATCTTCTCCAGATCTGGCTTCATCATACAATATGCTCTAGCAAAAACACAAACACATCCTCCAACCCAAATTAGCTTTTTTGCATTACCTGATTGAATTGCCTTTCTGTTGCTATAATTCTATCTTTTGTAAAATTTAAAAAAAATTTAATAGTATATGTTGCCAAGTGAAGTGGGAGGGATTGATTCCAACTTTTGTTTTTGTAACTGAATTTTGATGGTACAGTGAGGAACCTACATACTATATTTTGGAAGAGGAAACCATCATATAGCTTCCCTTAACCTGAGATGACCCATCTGTGAGCAATGAAGTAAACTGAATTAACTTTTCTGAAATATAATGACAACAAATAACACCAGAAGAATTAGCCCAAAATCTGGATGGAGCCAATTAACATTACAAAATAAAGTCTGAAAATCATAAAAGGTTGATCTGAACAGTCCTGGGTAATATGTCTTGGTTGGAATAGGTGACCCAGATAGGAGGAAGTTATCATAGCTGCATCTCTTTTGAGGCCACAGTGAGGCCTGCCACTATTTAAATAGGATGTCAAAATCAAGTGACTGTTTGAATCCCACTGCTTTTAGATTGTAATTCAAATCTTTATATCTGTAAAATATCAAGGCTTTTCTATACCAATTTAATTTAGGACTGTAAAACAGGCAATCAAACTCACTAGGAATCATGAGAACACCAAAGACTTATAAAACATTTTAAATCAGCAGCATATCCTGCATATGGTGTCAAGAAGAAAACTGTAATTAAAGCATGACAGTTTTATTAGCTGTATAATCTAAAATGAGGAAATCTTTTACTATAACTCTAGAAGACCAAAGCCGATCACTGAAATATACATATTTTGAGACAAGGGGCAAAGTTTTTATTTATGGGAATTATTTTTTAAGTAATCTTTTTAAATATCCCCATTATTATAAATCTTAGGAAATATGATTTTCTTAACTAAAAGCAAACTGTTTTTATCTTGAGGATGAAAACAGCCTTTTAAATTATCACCTTAGGGGAAAAATGTAAAGACTTCTCTTTTAGTGTCGATTGTAATAGAGAAAGAAAGGAGAAAACCCCACTCTATTCCCTGGGAGGCTTTATTTCCTGCAAGGCAGAAATTCCCTGGGACGCTCTATTCCTGGCGGAATGACCCGCTGCCTCCCTCCAGGTCAGCAATCCAGCACCTTTGTTACAGTGGGCCTGCAGCGTCCATACCCAGTAGCCATCCGCACTTGTGTCTAAAAGCCCTTTAAAATGTTTCTTCTTTAACTAATAAATTCTATCTTTGAACTTAATATAGCTCTTTTTTATTTATAATTTTTAAATTGAGCTATATGAGAGTCTCGGGTGATTTGAACAATGTTTTGTTCTTGTCTCTGGCTGCAGCCTCCACTCCATGCCTTGGGGCTGGGTGAGCAGCTAGCACAGGCTATCATCTTAGTGCTGGGAATGGGCTCCCTCACCCACATTTCCCCTCCTCAAGCAATATGGCGGTTACCATCTCTGCATCCATAGCTGCTGAGGTCCCGTTTTTGCCCAGATTTCAAGCGCAGGCGCTGTTTTTGTGAATAGCGCACACGCCAGCGCCTGTGGTGGTGGGAGCAGGGAGAGCTGGGGTGCACTACGTCATATCCCGCCCATCTGGTTCTGGGCACACACACACGTGTAGCTGGTGGTGGAAGCCAACCACTGTGACTGGACTGGGCGTGTGGACACACAGGTGGCTGGGGAATCCCAGCTGAGTCTGCCCAGGACCGGAGGACAGCTCCCTCCCACCCCGCCCACAGCCCAGCCTGCGCCCCTCCTCCTCAGTGGCACCATGCCTCTCAGAGCTAGTCCTGCAGAATTTAAAAGTTTTGCCTTTTTCATCTGATTGAGCAAAGATAGAGGGTTCCAACTCTATGGGTGGAGCTGTTGCTCCACCCTCTTTGTCCTGCTAGGCTCAGGACTTGATTTTAAAGTACAGTTCTGAGCCGGGTCTTTAGTGGTTGCAAAAGCCCTTCAGCCAAAATCCAGGGGGAAAAAATAAATACAGGAATCATGAAACAACAAATATTTTTACATACAACTATATACATCTATAAACATCTGTGCTTTTTGAGACTCTGTCCCATTTTTAACTTCTAGTAATTCAATATACCTTTCTCCTTTTTGGCTTCTCTTAAGCCTATCTCTCTCTTTCTTTTTTATATATTTTTTAAGTAGTTCTCCATGCCTCATTCTCTACACCTGATAATTGTCAATATAACACTCTTGTGCAAAATATTAACTGACTAATTCACTCCCCTGCCCTGTTGCATGCAAAACATTTGGGAAGCATCTTTCTGCCTACCAGTTCTCCTTAGCAGAGGTTCCTGTTCAGGTGTCAAATGTTGGGAATCATTGGTCTCCAAGAGAAAACAGCGAGGGGATTTAGAAAATAAAGACAAGAGACAGAGCTGAGGTCAGGTGAAGGCCTCTTTACCAGGTGGGTAAAAGGACTGAACAACAACAGTAGGGGCATTTATTCATACTTTTGCAAAGTCAAAATCATGAGACACAAGGTTGCATAGTGACTAATGACTGAATTGTTTTTCTCAAGACTGAGTAGCTTGAGTGCTTTAGTTACTCTATCTCTGCCCTGCCCTCAACAAATGACCAATTTTCAGCTACAGCGGCTCCCAACATCAGACACCATTGTAAGAGAATAGAAATCTAACATAAATCGATTCTCAATACAAACAAGTCCTCTCCTAGTATTAGCATATTGATAAAAAAAGGGTGGAAGTCTCAGGCCTAGGATGGAAGTATTTACATAAAAGTTCCACAAACCTTGATCCTTCTGAAGGTCCTGGGCTTGCAACTTTTCTCCCTTTATTGGGGGAAAACCTCAATTAATGCAAATACCTTATAAGACAATACATTTCTACATTTGCATTGGTTTGCATCTTGCCTTTTGATATGAGGACTACTAACTTGGGATTAAGTGAAGTGTGACCTAACTGAGGAAATACTAAGTCTGCAAAGGAAGGGAAGGGCTATGTGCCAAAGGAGCTGCGTGAGCTGGATGTCACAGACCAGCTGGAATTAGGATAGCATTCCTGGGAGAGGATCTTGAAGGTGCCTTATTCCGCGGACGGGGGTGAAATATAAAGCTGCAAATTGGAGTTTACCAAAATGTGAGCAATTTCCCATAACACAGGACTTGGTACTCAGGCAAGGGCTTCAAAATTCTGCTCTTATGAAAATGCTACTAGAAAAGCCTCTAACATTATGTCAAAAAGTGAAGGTCCACATTAAAAGAAGCATGGCATGAAGAAAGGGATGAAAAAGCACAGAAAAGTAAGCTACCCAGGTCATACTATATAAATCTAAGAGAGCACTCAGCAGACAAGTTCCTTGGGAGGTTGCTATGGACTAAATTTTGTCCAATCCAAAGTCATTTATTGAAGAACTGGTGACACATTATGGTTTGGTCCAAAATGATATGCAAAACTCTCATACATTAAGTGGGAAACGTTGGAAGCCTCTTGGATGGTAGGGCACTACATTCTTCAGGAGACTCGGCCATTGATGAGTTCCTGCTGGATGTGCTGCTAGGAGGTGGGGCCTAGTTTGGAAGTGGATCATAGGGGTTGATCTATAAGGGTGTATTCTGAACTCTGGCTGCTCCTGGCTCTCTGTATGCTTCTTGGATGCTACGGGATAAGCAACCTTCCTCCAGCACACACTTCCACCATGCCATTTCTGCCTTGGAGCCAGCAATCATACACTGAACACACTGGGAAGTGTGATCCAAACAAACCTCTCCTCTCGCAAGTTGTGGGTGTTGGGTATTGTGTCAAGACAACTGGAAAGCTGATTCAAAACCCTTCTTCAGGTGACATTTGAAGATAAGGCCTTTAGTAAGAACTTTTTAGTAAATATGCCTAGTTTACAGTGCTCATGGAAAATGAGAACCAGAGGCTGGTCTTATGGGGTAATGAAAGCTGAAGGAGGCTAAGCTACAGCCTGGATCCAATGGCAGTTTCTAAGATTGAGAGGAAACATGCATTAATCCTAACAGGTGCAATATATTCTATAACAGTGAGAGGTGAAACAAAGAAATATCAGAGTTTAAATTCTGTACAGGACTTAGATGTCTCCAAAGGTTGGGGTAGGGGCAGTAACATAATCATGGGAAGCAAGCTCTTCAGCCTTGAGAAAAGAATTCCTCACAAAGACCAAGCTTTATGAAACCAATGGTTATCTGTCTGCCAACCAATGAGGAAGTGTCAAAGAAGAGTGACAAGAGACAGATGTCTGCTTGGGAAGACACCTAGGAACGGTACTAGTAGCAGAAGAATTATACAGATGTATGCTAGAATTATATGGATATATGAGATATTTTCAAACCTACACCTATATTGCAATATGCATCTCACATGTGCCTCTACATAATTTAAATAATACAAAGAAGATACATTTACTATTTCCTAAGAGATAAGCATGGTAGTAAGCCTAATCCTCAGTGATGCTGCTGTATCATCATCACTGGGGAGGTCTAGTGATGCAGCACCCTTAGACATGTAGAAGGCTTCCTTCTGTTTAATCAATATCATATGTGCTCTATTTGGGTATGAAGTATAAGACAGGAAAGTACAAGTCAATGATAGAACTTCCATCAGAGAAGAGATAACCATCAACCTAGTGACTGGGTTTTAGCAGTGCTTCAATGCTGTGAATTCTGGGTGGGTCCCAGAACTCTATGGCTGCCATGGATAGGTCATAGACCACTGCCAAGTTTCTGTCATAACTTACGCCAACCACAGTGTGGACTGAGCATTTTTCTGGAGTAAGTCCTACTGAGCAAATAGCTTTCTGGGTTGTCTCCTGCTTTTTGATTATACAAGTTTCATTATCTTTGCCAACTAAATTTTCAACAGCAGAGTTAATAGAAGCTTACCTGATATTAGCAATTCCACAGAGTCAAATAATGAAGCACAAAAAAAACCCTAACCACCTTGAGCCATCACTTGCGGAACAGCCAGAGAAGAGAGCCAGACGTAAGTGTTAGCATATTCTGGGAATAGGGAAGCAGGAATTGCCTTCTAAACAGGGAAAAGAGGATTTCTAGTTTGTGGTGCAGTAACAGAGAAGAGAGAAAGAGGGACAGAAGTGACTGAAGGCGAGAAGCGAGCGCGCGCGTGTGTGTGTGCGCGCGCAGCGTCTTCCTGAGAGGAGGTAGTCTGAGAGTCAAGAAAAGCTTAAGACGACCCAGATGTTTTCTCTCTTGTCAAAGGCCTAGGTTAGCTGTAGAGAGTCCCTCGGGGTTTATGGGTTACAGTTGTAGAGTAAATTTTTCCTTTGAAAATGCATTTTCTGTCATTTGACTTCTTCCTTAAGGGCACCAGGGAAGCAAATCATGTTATTTTCTAACAGAATTCTTTTTTCCTTCCATTGAAAAGAAACTGAGCCTCACAGAAGCAAAGAAAATGCTTTTTTAAAAACCTTGAAACACTGATGTGTACAGGAAAAATTATAATATCAGAAAAAATGTACTTTGTCAGGAGTGAACTTTTTTGTTTCAGACTATGAACATGTTCATGCAGGGCTCCTATGTGAAATGGTAGAAAAAACAGGTTATATACATAAAGAAATACACAAACTCACATAAACATAAACAGTAGTTAGCCATGAACAGTGAATTAGGGAATGGAATGAAACTTGGCACTTCATGGAAACATTGGAAATTAAACATTTGGTTACCTTGGAGACTGACAGCAAACAATTAACTCCTGTGAAGCGGGACCACAGCTCAGAGGTGGGAGAAGGACAGATCGAAGTCAAGCCCAACATTCCTGAGTGGCTCATCTCTGAGAATAGTCTGACACTTCCAACAAACTGTGAGGCCTATGTTTTTTTCTATGGTTCCTTGTAATGGGTGATCTGGAGAGCGAAGTCAGCTTCAGTTCACCTTCAATAAAATGAGTACATATTCAAAGATGTCAGTGATTAGAAATTTGGAAATATCTAAAGCACATACTCATGCTTACTTGTTCCATACACCAAAAAAAAAACAAAGAAAAATATGCCAGGAGAAGATAAATATTGCTATCACACATTAGCATCTCCTTACTACCTACCAAATCAGATTGTGTCTCAATAACACATCACAAACTGACTGATTAGAACAGACCAAGGTACAGTAACTGGTACACGATGGGCTACATCTTCCATGAGCATGAGCTCAGCATATGCTGTCAGTAGGACAATTCATAGGCTGAGGTGGAAGAAAACACAGTCATCATTGACACAGAGCACTCAAGGAGACCTACGGTTATCAACATCACATTCCACCGCAAAAAGAATGTTCTCAGAGAGATATAGGGGTTATTATGGCCACAGAAGTGGCACATGACATTTCTACTCATTTTCCTTTGTAGGAAACATAATCACACAGTCATAGTTCAAAACAAAGCAGCTCAGTTAAGTATAGCACAGCAGTTTGGACAAGCTGAAAGAGGGGAGGCAGAAAGTAAGAGTGACCTGACAGAGTCAATGTTGTTTTCTGCATTTAAAAAATTAAGTAATGGAAACCATACTATTTAACTATTTACACAGGTTCGCTGAACTTGTCAAATACTAGACTCATATGACTTCCTAAAGGAGAGATATATACCCCTAAACACCAAACTACAACCATATCTCTCACTTTACTTTTCAGAAAACTTAGATTCTCAAGATGCTCTGTTGGGGAGAAACAATGAAGTGGCCCCAGCTCGAGACCAGGAAGAGACCTTTATTGATTCCTCGAATCGCTTCTCTTATGAAGACAAATCCATCGGTGCAGGTATGAAGTAATGATTAAACAAGATGCAGAAAGTAAGCAAGGGGCTCGGTATCCCGGAACTGAGTTGAATGGTTCTGACAATCACTTGATTCAAGGCTGCCCAGAAAGAAATTGAAATGTTCCTCCACATAGTTTTACACAGGCAGCTGTAGTAAGCAGCAGTGGGAGCAATAAATACCAAAAGAAAAACGCAAGGAAGAACTGCAAAACCAGTGGAGTACTGGGTTCTGCTCAGCAAATGGTGGGAGAATTACTGAGGAGACGAGAGTGTGATCAGAGACACATAGGGGTGGCAGGTCAGTTTGACCCAGTGTCGAGTATGGCAGACTGCCTGGTCCAAAATATTAGGGTCCTCATAAATGCCTCTGAGATAAGGTACAGATACCCAACCCAAGAACACAACACATCCGTAGGTTTTTCATACTCAGTGTTCTCAAACATATTGTTACACACGCCAATCTGAAGTCCCTAGCCTCACCTCTCATTGCCATACTATTCCAGATGCATAGGAATTCCTCTGACTCGGTGTTTATTTCTACCATCCAAACAGTGGTAACTGCTCGGACTTCCTGATGACACTACATTCCTTATCTCTGTGTTTTTTATTTATTTGTCAGTTTTGTAAACTTTGTGTGAATAGAAGGGCAAATTCTATACTTCACGTCTGATTCCTCTTAGTTCATGTTTATATGTGTGGCTATTGTTCATGTTGCAGCTGACTTCTGTTTGTCAATTCTCATAATTGCATATATTCCATTACAAGAATAGAAATAATTGATTACTGACTAAACTTTGTTGAACATTAGGATTGTTTTCATTATGAAGAGAGTAAGACGATGTTTTGAATATTCTGATGCCTATATTTTGTTATACTAATACATAGTTGTTATACTAATACATAATACACATACTAATACATAGTTGCTCGGTAAAATTTGTAGAGTCTACATTTCTATCATAACCAAACAATGCAATATTTCTTTTTATTTTTATTTTCTATTGCATTATTAGCACTTCATCTTATACACTCTACTCATATATTTTAGAGCTTCACATAGTTCTGGATTTTTTCTTTTCAGAGTATTTGTTTATAATACATACTGAATACATACATTGTAGGGAGGTTGTATATCCATATATCACATGTTAATTCTTTTTACATCCACTTCTTTCATCTTTCCCTCCAAGACTAGAACTCCTTCTTGCATGTTCCCTATCATTTTTATTTTGCTTCCTAAATTTTGCTCCTTAAATCCTAGGTTCGAGTCAGGGAGCAGAAGAGAATTCCACCAATTTCCGGGATTGCTCCAGAGTGTCTCCTTCAGGCCAGCACAGCCCTGTGAAGCAAGAAGGTAAGGCAACTGCAAAGGTGACCTGAGCACCCTTGAGCTGCGTGTACAAAGCCTGAATGTCTCACTTTCCCTTCACATAGAGCAAAGGGCCTCAGAGCAGGGGAAATCTGACTACAAAGCTCCTCGGCACAAGTTTCCCAGGGAACACTGAGACAGGTGTGGATGAGGCAGCGGATCCTGCAGCCATGTGTAGGGGAAATGCTCAGCACTTCTCCATCTGTTCGGCATAAAACCAACCTCACACACTCACATGTCACACTGCTTTACACACAGGAGAGGCCTGTAACTTCTTTCCTTCTTCACTCGTTTTGTGTCCCATTCCTTATCAGCATTACATAGGCACAGCCTTACACCCTCATCCCTGCATATAGCCATTCTCAATCCACCACTTTACACCTGAATCCCTTGAAGAGCTACAGATCATCTCACATGGATAACCTGTTTTAATTCAGCATGCCACACACAACAGAATAACACTCACATTCCCTTTAAGATGAATATTTTCTTGTCTAGCCATCACCTCTTTTACCACGCTTTCAGCCCTTTATAGAACTGCATGTGCTGAAGCCAAATCATTTCCTCTAGCACGTGTGGCGCCTTGCAGCACACACAGCTTACCTTCATCCACATCATCCAACAGACAGTAAAACAATGGCTTACAGGCACTGTTATGCCACACAATATACTTCCACGTACACATAGTCACAGTCCTTAACATTCACTTTTCTAGTACCGCAAGCTTTCACCAGATTTGTACCAGAATACCTACAGGTATAGAGGTAAAGATGGAATTGGAGTTGGAGATGGAGGTAATGATGAAGATGGAGGTGGAGGTGGAATTGGAGATGAAGATGGAGATGAGAGAGAGAGACAGAGACAGAGACAGAGACAGAGACAGAGACAGAGACAGAGAATCTGTTTCCAGGAGAAACAGCACAACCCATTTTCCTCATAATCATGCAAAGTATACACTTCAAATAACAGTTCCACCCAAGCACTCCCAGAGATATTCTGCTCGCATCTTATCTCCTTAGTTTTGAAATCAGTTACCTCAATACGTTGCAGGTCTTGGATCACCGGAGATGCCTTTAGATGAAGACATGATGGAGAGGGAGAAATTACGTTATAACTTGCGTTCCCCTTCCCCATGCTCCTTGGATAGCCACTCATCATCTT